ATTTGGACTCAACATGGAAACACTCCATTTCTCAATCATAACTTTCAAAGCTCTCGAACACATGCAAGACGTTTTACCTTAACTCTCTCTCCTTCCCCTTTGATCTAAAATTAATATTCTGAATAGAAGGTGTCCAGTTGTGTGAGAGCAAGTTTACTTAATGTAAGAAATTCAAGACTGTTTTATCCTATTCTATGGCCTCAGCTATAAAATACCTCTCTTTTCTGGGGAAATTTCTCTAGATGACCTGTGCAATTTTTCCTTTTTCTTAACTCCTGAACAGGACGTCCTCATATCAATTCAAGAAGAGCTCTGACACCTGCAACACCTGCCCTACAACACTCTTGCCTATCTTGCAAGTGTAGAAAAGGGCTTACTACACAGCTCTTCAACAAATTTGTCAACCTTTGTCTTGGAAAGCATCAGCCATTTGATCCTCCTTATTGTGGCAGATTAAGAGATACTACAGTTGAAAGAAAAAGAAAAAAAAAGACTGCTGAAATAACATTTTTCTGTTTATGGCACCAGCCAGGACAGTATCTTTCGAGTAAAATTAAAAACCAGTATTCAGTATTGCAGTGGTGAGTGGTATGTCAGCATGTTACTAAGACACCACCTGCCTTTCAGATCGGAACAAACCTATACAGATACCTGAACGTTTATAAGATACCTTATAACGTTTATAACAATGTATAAAACAGGCAGTCACTGTACCTCCACGTAAACAAAAGATCTCTGTGGCCAAGTTTTGAACCAAATGGACAGTAACATGAATTGGCAGTTAGATGTGGTCCCAAAAAACCCCATAACTTATAAAGAAGACATGTAAACGTAAGCCTCAAGCAAAGACTTGTCATAGCCTTCGTTATTCTCCAAACAGCAGCATCTGTTGAAGGGATGCAGTGGATTATCACAAATTCTTCAGACTTCAGAAGTACTCACAAAGTTGGAAAAGACAGTGAACAAACAATACTAAATACCTGCCAATTTTTCTGAACTTACAAGCTCAATTTCGTTATACTGAATCCTGTCCCCTGACCTTTACCCAAAGCTTTGTGGCTGTGTAAATGCCCTGTAAATAAAGGCAAAAGAACTGCACATATAAAAAGGATGTACCACGGAATAAAAAGAAACCCATGTTAAAAAAGAGAGATGCACCAAATAAACCAACAGGAACATTCTTTCTCCCCACGCTCAATAACATGTGGGGAATAATTGGAAAAAAATTTGCTGCCTTATGTATTACTTGTGAAAAACATGTTCTTCCAAAGCTACTAATTATTTTATTTTTTTTAGAGTGCACCAACTGTTACTCAACCTCTTTACTACCCACTTGTTTGTCTTTTTTCCCCATTATAAAAGGGACTTAGATTTTTTAAAATGTACTCATCTGTAAACTGCAGGTCAAATTGATTAAGTGACCCAAATAACTTACAAAAATAGATTTGATATCCAGTAGAGTGAGCAAGAGAACTGGAACCTGCAATCAACCCTCCCCCTAAAAGACTACCCACCTAGT